TTGTTGTTTATGTACATGTGGTCTGTCCACTGCACCGTAACATCAGGCATAAATACCAGACATTCACACACTAGATTCTCATTCTAAAGCTCAACACTCCTTGATATCACACAGTCCCTCGTACTACGATAGCAGATAACAACATGTACAAGGCTGGCTTGGTCTTCATCCTTCTGGTGGCTCTCACTGTGTTCACATCTGCAGCACCAGGTAATAACTGCTAACATTTTAGTACTCTTTATAACAGATACTGTGTAGTTGTTTGTGGGACAAGATTTTGATTTCGTAAGAGACGGACTTATGAATGGCTATATTTTTTAGTAACTGATTTAATTATATTTTGCAGGCGTGTGTAAATTTGAAGGCAGGATATACAGAGTAGGACAACATTTTGTCAACAAAAATTGCTCTGGTGAATGCCGATGTAAGCCAGGAAACTCAGTATGGTGCAGTGATCTCTGCGGCGTCTCCAGGATTGACTGTGGCCCCGGAGAAGTAAAATCTAGGAAGATCATCCCGAGGGATAACGGGCGTTGCTTCTGTACTCGTCCTATTTGTATCAAGATATAAGGAATAATGGGCTGATCATGCTTTAGTAGCCACTAAAAGCCTAGTTATTCGTGGAATCATCTGTAGAACATTTTTTGTTTGCAATCGACTATCGATCATATAAAGACTCTTTCTTATCTGCTAGCATTCTTTGTAAGCGTAGCATTTTAGCTATAGCAGATTTTTAGCGGGAAAACCGTTTAGAAAAAGTCCCGGATGTAGAGATATTGTAGGGACACTGTTAGGTATATTGCAACTTGTTATGTAAAAATAATATTGACATTAAAARTTAATGAAAAGTTAATGGATTTATATTCCCTTTTCCCTCCTTTTCGTTGGGGCGAGGGAAGTTATTCCTTTCTTGATTTGAGTTCCCTGCGGTGACTGATGATACCGTCGAGTTCCCTTCCAATCAAATTCATTACAGCCATTCTCAATCACACGCGCCCTCTAGCGGATTGCTTCTGTCTGGACGAAGAAGCTTTTGGTGGACGTCAATCAAGGCGTTTCCATGACATTCTACAGGCACGTGTCCTTATAGTTTTGTTTTCCGACAATGTTATGGAATCGCCTTGCATGATTGACGTCCACCAAAAACCTATACTTCGTCGCGACAGAAACAATCGCTAGAGGGCGCGTGTGATTGAGAATGGCTTAAAGTCGGCATTTTTTTTTCAAGTTTGGTGAGCATCTCGTATATATGCTCACTCTTGTCTAGGTTGAATTTCCTGTCAGTGAGACCATCTTATTAATTAGGAACCAAGCGGTTATGCCAGTGATAAGTCAAAAATACTTAAAACCTCTAGGAAAAAAGGAAATAGATTAAAATAAATTAATAAAATGAATGCTCGAAGAGACTCACTTTGCGCGCAATCTGTGAACACATTTGACCTCGTTTTCCGTTAATGAACCTTGGCATAATTTTTTAGAGCTAAAACTACTTTTGGACAAATTCACTAGAGCGCATGCAGTAAAACCATGAAATAAAAACGAAGTTGATGCTGGTAAATAGGTAGTAGACCAAAAAAAAAAAAAAAAAAAAAAAAACGTGTATGAAACAAAAAGCAAAAACCGCAACGAATTAATTTTTGAATAAGCAAGCTAGTTTTTTTGGGTGACTGAATTGAGGATGGAGGTCCACAAGTTTATCAGTCTCTGACTGTAATGTGTTTAATCTCTTTAAATAAAGTCATTATTATTATTATTGTTATTATTATTACTACTACTAATATTATTATTATTATTATTATTATTATTAGGCTCCATCAAAGCTATCCAATCAACTTTTAATTAGAACATTTTAACTACAAAACTGCGGAATGCTTTGGGCAATCATGTAAGGCCGCAGCCGCCATGTTGGTTGAACCAAGGGCGCCAGGACAGACGGATTGGGTTTTAGATGTATGTGTAATTATTTCAGTTATTCTAATTGAATTGATATATGTTTGTTTCTAAATGGATACTAAATAGAGTGCTCACACTAAATCCGTGAAACAAATACTAATTTTTAGCACTAAATAGTGATAATTAAACAATAGAAAACAAAGGATTCTGTATGAAATAGTACTATTTAATGTTCACGGTTTTAGTGTGTGCACTCTAGTGTTCACTTATCTTTGAAAATAAACGTCCTTTACAACCAACGATTATGCTGGTTTGAATCAGCCGTACGATATGAATATATTTACCACGTCCACCAACGGTCTTTCTGGTTTGAATCAGCTGTACGCTCTGAGTATTTACCGCTGCACTATCCGTGCCAAACAGCGCCGGCGTCGCTTTGTTAGCGATTAATCAAATTTTTACTGTACTGAAGGTAAATTTGATTGACTTATTAAGGGAGAGTAAAACCCAATCCGTCTGTCCTGGCGTCCTTGGTTGAACTTAACAATGCATTTTTCACGGCTGTTTATCGGCTTTTGTTATGTGAACCAACATGAGTCGCCATTTCCTTTGATTTTCTTTGAATTCTTTTGAAAACGCTTTGAAAGTAAAGTCATCAAATACTGAGCAAAAATACACTTATAATAAGAATGTAATAATAATGAAATAATGAGAAAGATAATATATAACAAAGCGAAGAGAAAAATCAAAAGAACTAGTTTGAATGATTAGAACGTCGGCTGTTCTTTTGGAAAACTTACGGCTCATCTCCGAAGTCTTCATAGGTGTGAAAATTTTAACTAATTTAAGGTTTGTGCATGAAGGATTTTCAAAAAGTCGTGTCAAGAAAAGATCTTCTGCTGAACTCACAAAAAAGGACAATTTTAACAGATTCTAGGGGGATAAGCATCGACCATTCTTTAGAGTACGTGTGTTTTTTGACAAGAAATTTTATATTAGATTGATTCAACTCGCTGGATTTTAAGATGTCCCGGTTTTGGAATACCGACGTTTTATAGCAGAGATGAAAGTAAAAAAACCAGAGGACGCGACGTTGTTTACGTAATACGCTCTCACTTGACCCAGACTCTGCTTCACATAGCAAAACATTCGATACCTTGCTTATTCATTCTTGCTACAACGACTAGCCCTTTTTTAACATTTCCTTAATGTTTTTGCCATTTAACAGCTGAAAATGAGAAGAATCTGAGGTTTGTCCGAAGGCGTTCAGTTATTTAACACTAGGGCGTCGTCTTGATACTTTGGCATTAGCAAAGATTTTAACAAATAATAGAAAAATTTTCCATTAAAAGAAAAATTACTTTTCTCTAATAATACCAAGTGAAGACAAAAAAAAACATATTTAAAAGTAGTTCTGAAGTTTTTGAATTACGTTTAGTTTTAGCCTTTTTTCCTCTTTCGTGTCTCTCAGCTCTCCGCCTCTTCTCTCGTCGTTTTTTTCTTTTCTGCTCAATACGTTTCTCTTTCCTTTTCTTAATTTTCGACCTTCCTTTTTCCTTGCATCTAGACTGCGAGCTAAGTCCCTATTTCCATTGGTCACTGTCCGTCTGTCTGTCCGTGTCGATTGGTCGAGGAAGATTGGTTACGAGCCAAACGTCCCTAGGGGAGGGGGCTGGGGAGGGAGGGACGAAAGAAAATTTTTCTACCTTGCATCCATCTCCACGTCAGATAGTTCACTACATTACTTTCTTATCAAATTACTGGGTGTTTCCAAAGGCGAACTTCAACTTAGGATTGTCGTATCTTCCTGACGGCCTTTACCAGCACATTCCACAAATGCCTTGCCTGCTTTTAAGCCCACTCATCGGATGTCATTAAGTCATCATGTAACCATGACAACGACCCCAAAAGGGGATCTTCGTGTGGGCTTTTCAATCATTGAGGTCTGGGGTAACCGTCTATATAAGCGTGGGGTTTTAATGAACTTGCATCATTCTGTCTACCAACAGACGAACGAAGGAATATCCTACAAGACGCTGAAGTAAAGACTTTACAAGATGACCTCTAGACTTATCTTTACGCTGCTTTTGGTTGGTTTTGCTTGTCTGTGCTCTGGCGCTGATATCCGTAAGATGCTGGAAGAGCTTCTTAGTGGTGAGTGTGTCATTTATTATACATATCCACCGCTGTGGAAATCTGTTGTGTATTACCTCAAAGCATTTATCCCTATAAGGAACAGGTCACAGTAGTTTCAAAAATACGAGTCTTCTACATTTTCTTAGACACAGATTTTTAGCCAAATGTCATCGTAGCATCGTGTAATTTTTGTGACGTAAAAAATATAAATATGACAAAATATCTGGAATGTCCAAAATGATCGCAATTGAATTCCACGAAGCAAACGAGAAGTGTGAAGGAGTTTTGTCGTAGGATGTGAGCTCGAAGATTTTCTAACCACTCCTTGCGAAAGACCCTTATTACTCTTAAATTATTACAAATAACCCTAACATTCCGCGGGTATTTTAAAATCCATGTGTAAACATTTTATTCTTAATAGTGTAAGATTAGTTCAAGGTCTTAACATACCATTTAGGGCATGTCAAGTACAAAACGAGATACCAAAATATCATTATAATCAACTCAAGTTTAAAGCTGACCTTAGAATATAGTACAACCTTATGAATGCACTACCAAAAGGCTGCAAAAATAACTAACAAAACTTATTTAGACAAATTCCTTTTTCAATGTACGACTAAAAATGTAGATATTTCAGTAAGAAGGCTTAGCTGAAACGCCCTTAAAAAATTGTAAAATTAGCTTAAAGGACGAAGAGATGTCAAATATATCATAACAAAGATTTCCGGGCGAGACAAGGTCTTTCCCCATATGGTATTAATATCATTGCACTGAAGACCAAATTTTTGAAATCGTTTCCACGACGTCGTAGCTGTCTTTTTCTTTATCAATTTTAAAACATACGGACTAAAATCCTCGTAAAACCTTCAATATAGATTTCATTCCTTTGGAACCGAAAAATACCTTTAAATCTTTGTAGATATCAATCCCTCTCACGATCTTTTTGTTAGAGAATCAAATTTTTTCTAATATGGACGAAAAAATGATGATCAAAAAGTTTATTTTGAGATCGTCGTAGTAGCTAAACTAGCTTCGGATTATTGTCGATTTTTGTAGGACATTAGCTCCGCATCATTCACTAGCATCGTCTTTAAAGAGATAATTGCTCTCACCAACCGATTCAAATTGAAAGACACGTCTTAAAATTGTTCTACTAAAAATAGCATTCATAAATTTTGAAAATTTTCCAAGATATTTTTATACTATTAAGTCCGTATCAATCAATTCTATGCCAATAAGGTTAACAATCGTCTTTGTCAAAACAAGGAAAGCTATTCCAAACTCGAGTTCGATTTTCAAGAATTAAAAGATTAATCTGTCTACCAGATGGCGCTCGTTCTGCTTTACAATATCAATCCTATCTAAGATAGCTGTAAGTAGAAGTGATTCAGTTTACCAAATGTTTACTCTGGGATAATCTAAATCTCGTGGTAAAACGATTACTCCCCCCAAAAAGAAAATTTTTTGCAACCTTAAACGCTTTTCTTTGTTGACTGTGACTTCAAATAAACAAATTATGGGTTTCAATAGAACATAGAATGCGTTCTAATGGAGTAATTAGTAAATCTCAACCCACGCAAAAAACGTTGACCAAAACAGTTTTTGTGAAGGTTCGCTATGATAATGAGTAATTCTTTTTGTGTGTGTGGACATAGGACTAATACCCAAGCATTCGGAAATCAGAAGGAAAGACTTATTTATAGACAATAAAGAACACCCAAAAATRAATAGCATTTCTTTTTTCGTGACCATAAAACCGGATACAATTTGCGTGCACAGTCTGACCAGATATCCTTTACTTTATAGACTTGATTTATTTTGAGCATCAAAATGTGGGAAAACTTGTTAAAATCTTACCAGCCAACGGGGTACAAGGTTACACATTTATGATTGAATCCATCTAACCACAACTAAATGTGATAAAAAAAAAAAAAAAAAAAAAAAAAATGCCCGAAATTTTTTAACTATGAAAAGAGGAAAGAATGCTGTCACTAGAAAGGCTTGAACAGGTTTAAAAATGTGTGGTTCAAACTTCGACTTTGAAGCCCTATTTTTGGGTTTACTTGAAACACGGAAGTTTCGATTAATAATAACAGTTTTCAAACCGCTGAGACAGCTCTGTTTTGTGGTTACAATCCTTGGTTATGACGTTTTCATTGGAAAACACCTTTCTTAAAGATAAATTTGGAGAGATCTAGAAGGGTGTGGATATAAAACATGGTAATTATCCGCGTCAAAGAATTCTTTACATTGCAACCTTGAAGGAAATGCTTTGATTCGAGTCTAAAACGAATTGTCAGAATTGTTCATGCACCTGGAGCTACAGATATGAATTTTTTTAAAGTTCTTGTCATTGAAGAATGAAGACTTTGCTATTATAATTACACCATATGTCAACGTTTAGATAACAAAATGAAGGATTTCTATTATTATATATATGTATCAAATACAACCTTGGCCTAAAAAATAAAGGTGGCAGACATATTGGATGATGGTGGTTTGCAATCATCCTTAGGGGAATAAAAATGGCGCCAACCATGATGGATGGTGTTCACTATAGGTGGTTTGGAATCATTCCTAAGAGAATAAAAGAGGCAGCCATGTTGGATGGTGTTCACTATAGGTGGTTTGGGTAATCATTCCTAAGGGAACAAAAGAGGCAGCCATATTGGATGMTGTTCACTATAGATGGTTTGGGTAATCATTCCTAAGGGAACRAAAGAGGCAGCCATATTGGATGATGTTCACTATAGATGGTTTGTAATTCCTAAGGGATGATGTTCACTATAGATGGTTTGGGTAATCATTCCTAAGGGAACAAAAGAGGCAGCCATATTGGATGATGTTCACTATAGATGGTTTGTAATCATTCCTTAATATAAACTTCATGAATAATTAATGACCTCTGAACAATGTAAAATCACTCCCGTGAAGGCATCTGTAAACCCTGATACAGAATTCGTCCTGATTTGCATAAGGTTGATTTAAAAATATCTCGGCCAAATTACTTTTAATGTTAAAATTTTTACTCTAAAGAAGAAGCATTAATCTAGGCATTTTTGAAGTAACATACGATATTCGCGTGAGACCTGTATGAGGTTTAAAACAGCTCGCTTGCAGCTCGCTGTTTTAAATCCTCATACAGATCTCCCGCTCATATTGGATACACCTATTTCAAAAAACGTTGGGTTAAGTTGTGGGTAATGATCAGGAACCATACAAATATGACAGATTATATGTTTACATATGTGGTTTTCCTATACGCGAGATGTGTTGAGGTAGGTGTGGTTGGTGGGTGTCTCGAACAGACGCATAAATTTGCTAAGGGTTATCACTTTGGGTGTGCGTGCCCGCACACGCTCCCCCCCCCCCACCCCCCCTCCTCGTCTACTATTAATGCTTCCACATGGTGAAGTTACCATGCCGCGATCGAAGTTCCCGCACTCTTATTCTCACGAAACCGTACCAATTATATCCAAATCAATACAGGATACCGCTTGATTGCCGAACGTAAACCGATAGATTATTGATTTATCAAGGCTCATCTACGAGTTTTGAAGAATATTTTTTGAAAAAAAAAAAAGCGTGTTGAAATATTAATCAAATAATATTTCACATATCGGAATCTCATTCCCAAACAGTTTTGGGAGAGAGGACTTGAACCTCATGTTTATACAATGGAATATCAAATCATTCGGGATTTGAAAAACCTGATATTGTTTATATATTTAAACTTTTCACTTGTTAGAATTAAGCATTTATCAGCTCATGACATGGTTCACGATCTGCTGAAACATGTCTATAAGGCAAACTACAAACTGAAAATAGTTTTTTCCTAAAAATATGAATTATCTTACTTTTTGAATAAGGCTCAATTTTCGAAAATAGATTGATGAATATTAAATGAAAAAAAAAAAAATTTTTTTTTTTCACTTTTTATTCCAACAGGAGACGCAACAAAGAATGACAGACCTCTACCTCCAGGCCTACCCAGACCTCCTGCAAGTTTCCGAAGACCACCCATGCCTCCAGCAAGTAAGTACCACCGAGGCTCAATTAACGGGAGACTGGTTACAAACGCATATTGCCAAGAATCGTGGGAAGGATTAATTATTTCGCTACCGTACTGGTCCCTGGGTTTGGAAAGTTATAAATGTCCCTTTTTATAAAGCAACTCTTTGTATTTTTAATTTTTCGGTTCATACCATTAGTATCGTTCATATATCTATCGCATAACAGGGTTCACCTAGTGCACTTTTATTGAATAATGAAATAACCTCTGGGCTGATCTAAGTCAGGACTTGACTTACTCACAGATCAAACCCTGAAACTTCCTCTGGGCTGATCAAAGTCAGGTCACGTCTAACTCACAGATCAAACCCTGAAACAATCTCTGGGTTGATCTAAGTCAGGTCACGCCTAACTCACAGATCAAACCCTGAAACAACCTCTGAGCTGATCAAAGTCAGGTCACGTATAACTCTCGCAGATGGAATTGAAATTCAGCGTACTAGGTCTTGTGGAGGGAGGAAAAATATGAGAACCTGGAGAAAAACCCTCGAATCAAGGGCGAGACCTTACAAAGTCCCAAAGGTGACTAGAGGTGATTTAGCCTGAATGTTATTGGGTTTTGAGTTGGAGAAAAACTATATCTATTCATTCTATTTACCTGGTACTAATCCAACATTTTGTTTTGCAAAGACAAGTGCGTTATGGACGAGAAGACGTACGAATTCGGTGAGAGATGGGTTGATAAACGATGCACTGCTCGATGCAGATGCCGTAGGTATGGAGTAGCATGCGTTTCTCTATGTCCACCTTCATGGGTCAAGTGTGMCCCTGGCGAAGTAGAATCGACAGAACAAGTACCTGCCGACAGAGAGGGTAGATGCTTCTGCAGAATGCCTGTTTGTGTGAAGAAAGGTGACGTAGAGTAAGTTTCTTTCATGGTTTGTTTGTTTGTAATATAATAATGAAAAGAAAAGACTGCTGAAGAAGAGATTTCCCATCCTATCCAGTGTGAAGAACCCCAAGGGTGCAAATGCGCCTACTGGGAAATTGAAGAGAGGAGAAATTGAGGAGATTGAATTTCTTTTGTTTTATCCTCCAAATTGAGCTGCTTTGACGTCATCATACAAGGGGTCTATTCTCGGTGTTCGCACGTTGCTCATGCTTGGAGGTAAACCTGGCGGAGTTCACTCACCAAAGAATCTAAACACCTTTTAACAATAACCTCAAGTTGAAACAATTATTGATCTCTCATTCTGTATGGTTGTTTTAAGATCGATGATGGTGAAGAAGTAATATGCAATATGCTTAGCAGGCTCTGTTCCTTAAATATATCAGGTAAATGTATAGACCTCTTCGGCTTGGCGTAAAGTTTTCCCATTTCAGACCACGAGTCATTCTCTTGAGAATAAGATTCTTTGTTTGAGCTGTATCCATATTCATGTATCGTCTCATGTGCAACCGAGCGCAAACCTTAAACAAAGAAATGATACTCTAGGGAATGACATGTGGTCTGAAATGGGAAAACATTACGTCAGAGCCGAAGAGGTCTATTCAACTTTTTTCCTACCTAAGATTAAATCAACTATCAAAACTGAGCAACAAAAGCAAACAAAGGAAACTTAAAGGAAAAAAATGATGAGTGCCACGAACTACCATAATAAATTATTAAAAAAGCTTAAAGCGTTCTCATCTTTGTTTTTTTTGTTCTACTGTTTCAGATAAAGAAGAAAAGATTCAAGAAATATATTAAAGAAAGAAAGATTTCAGATGTACTCTGCATTCGTGAGCGTTATTTACAATAGAAATATAAGTATGAAAGAAAATATGAATAATAAAAAGTTATCTAATTTAACGACTTGCAGTCATTCAATTTATGTACTGTGTTGGAAAAAGACACCCATTTATTGAAGCGGTTTTGATGTAAAAGGTATTTAAAAAAACGAGCTTAATGTTAAATTAGCCATTATAGGATCTACATCAGATAACAGCTGTAAAAAAMCACATAAAACCACAAAGATTTTGCACTTGATCTTTCTGCGGGCATCATTTGTGTTCTGCAGTTTACTTATGGTTGGAACCTCTACTAACGTATAAACGAATGCGCGCGCAGTTATTACTTGAAGAAAATTAATCAATTACGTCAAGGATTTGGCGACGCGCAGAAGATTGACTATAGTTAGCACAGTGCTCAGAGAAAAGAAAAGGCGATTCAAATTTACTTGTCTGCATGAGAAGCTAAGCCTAGAAAAAAATTCAACCCAGGAGTCCATCATTTCTGTCCGGCGTTCGTGCACCGTAGTTGGGTAGTTGTTGCAACACCACCTTGGCAATTCTGATTGCATGTTCCAGTGGACAGGCAATGGATATCTGAGCATGGACTGAGGGAGCATGTCTGATCGGCATCGACTCCGTTTGCAGAAAGCTTGCAGCCTCCCTTTTCACACTGCTGGTTGCATGTCTTCGAGTTGCATTCAACCATACTGCAATTATTGAGATCTAGGCTAAACACAGGGAACCCCGACTATATTTTGTCGCGAATTTAATCGCGTATCAATTTACAACGCGGATTTGATTACAACTTGTGTAACGTAAACCGCGATCAAAGACAACTACAAACCCCAGGAAACCCATAAAGAGCAAAAATGATTTTCTAAAAGAAACAATCAAAATATAGCCGGGTACCCTGTGGACCGACCGGCTATTATTATAAGCTGTGGGGTTTCGTTGATCATGTGACTCGCATCTACSAGCAGACGAACGAAAGAACATTTCACAAAACGCTGAAGTAAAGACTTTACAAGATGACCACCAGACTTATCTTTGCGCTGCTTTTGGTTGGGTTTGTTTGTCTGTGCTCTGGCGCTGATATCCGTAACATGCTGGAAGAGCTTCTTCGGGGTGAGTGTGTCATTTGTTTTGCATATCCGCTGCTGCGGAAATCTGTTGTGTGACCTCAAAGTATTTTTGAAACTACGGTGAACTGTTGCTTTAGGGGTTAAGTTAACTGCAAGCCACTTTTTCGAATGAAATCGTTCATCATTGTAGTAGTCCTTGTCTTTATCAAATTCAAAATGAACGAAAATCCTGGAGAAAACTTCAATTTACAGTTACCGGTGTACCCCTTGAGGGCCAAACTAACAACGATAGATTATTGTTTTGTAGTCAAAGCTTACGAATGTTGAAGAAATTGTACAAAAAAGTACGTAGGAATTTTTTTACTTGTCGGAATAATCCGTCTTTCCCAAACAGTTTTGGAATCAGAATTATGCTTATACAATGATTTCTTTTGGGATTTGAAACCTGATATTGTTTATATATTTAAGCCTCTTACTTGTTAAAATTAAGCATTTATCAGCTCATGACATTGTTCACGATCTGCTGAAACATGTCTATAAGGCAAACTACAAACTGAAAATAGTTTTTACCTAAAAATATGAATTATCTAACTTTTTGAATAGTCTCAATTTTTAAAAATAGATCTTCATTCGATGAATATAAAATGAATTTTTTTTTTCACTTCTTATTTCAACAAAAGAAGAGTCAAAGAATGAGACACCCACTGCAAGTAAGTACCGCCAAGGCTCAACTAACGGGAGACTGGTAACGAACGCGCCTCCCGTAGAATTGTGGGAAGGAAAATTTTGTTCGCAACCGGTCCCCTCTTGGTTTCGAACGTTAGTCTAGACCCCTATTTTTAGAAGCAACTCCTCGTATATTCTCTGTTGGTCCATATCCGAATATATCTATCGCAGAATAGCGGTCGACGACAACTAGTGCGCCTCTACAAATTTATTGAACTCTGAAACACCCTCTGAGCTGATCATTTAGGTCACGTCTAACTCACATATCGAATTGGAATTTAGCGCGTTAGGTTTTGTGGAGGGAGGAAAACCCTGGAATCAAGGGAGAGAGATCTCACGTCTGCTCATATGTGGTGCCGTGTCCAAGACTCGAATCTGACTCACCCAGAGGTGATTTAACATGTTGGGTTTTAAGGGAGAAAAAATTCATTCTAATTGTTACCCGCTATTCCAATATTTCTTTTTGAAAAGAAAAGTGCGTTATGGATGGGAAGATGTACGAAAACGGTGAGAGATGGGTTGATGAACGATGCACTGCTCGATGCAGTTGCCTTAATGGAGCAGTGGGATGCGTTGATCTCTGTCCACCCGTCTACGTCAAGTGTGACCCTGGTGAAGTAGAATCGACAAAACAAGTACCTGCTGATAAAGAGGGAAGATGCTTCTGCAGGGTGCCTGTTTGTGTGAAGAAAGGTGACGTAGAAATAATATTTTTGCACATCTTAAAATCTGAACGCCTAAAAATATATTTGTTAACGCCGATGAACACAAAATACCGCTCGAGGCCCGAACTAACAAACACCGATAGATTACAATGTATTGATTTATTGAAGCTTATCTACGAATCAGTTTAAAACATTTTTACGAACTGAAAGCATGTTGAAATATTTTGACATATATTAAGGGAATCTCATTTCAAACAGTTGGTAGCAGAAGAGGAACCTTATGTTTATACAATGGAATTATTCGGGATTTGAAAGCGGATATTGTTTTTATATTTAAAAAATAAGCATTTATCAGTTCACGACATGATTAATCTGCTGAAACATGTCTATAAGGCAATCTACAAACTAAAAATAGTTTTTACCCAAAAATATGAAAAATCTTACATTTTGAATAATCTCAATTTTTGAACATAGATCTTTAGTCGATGAATATAAAATGGAAAAAGAATTTTTTTTTCACTTCTTATTCCGATAGTTGAAGACGAGTCAAAGAATGAGAACCCCCCTGCAAGTAAGTAACGCCGTATGCTTGTTACCAGACCCTATTCATTAGCAAATAATGAGTAGGGTCTAGTAACGAGAATGGTACCGCCGAGGCTCGGCTCGGTTATAATTTCGAGACTGGTAACGAAAACAACTCTCGTAGGATTGTGGGAACGATAATTAGTACCAGTCCCTAACTTTYGAACGTTAAAGGTCAGGACTTCTCTTTTTTTAATGTAACTCCTTTTTCTTATTTTTTCGGTCCATATCGTAAATATATCTATCGTAAAAAAGCGGTCACCCAGCGCGCTTTGTGTCTTTAAATTTATTGAACTC